GGATTCAGAGACCACGTCAGAAGCGCGTTTTCTCATCCAAACGGCCTCGTCTTTCACAGCATAAACAACATTCGAAGCTCAGGCGTGACGCTTCAACATCTGAACGCAATTACTGCGCGCGTGTGGGTTTCGTTCACTGCAGTTCCGATACAAGGAACGTCAGTAAAAAGCAGAAGAAAACCCACCCGTCCCACCCCATCTGACAGATGTTCATCATAGCTCTTTTCCTTTGTCTCTTTGTTCAGCTGAGGAAGGAGTGGTTGTAAGGCTGATGTAGGGTTCAGATTAATCATAAAGACCCCCACCCCCCACCCCCACAGCCTCTTCTATAATTTCCATTTGCTGGATTGATATTCTTGGCCCCATCCCAGCTTTTTTCTCCTCTGCTCTTCTGGTTGTTGTCTTGTTTTTCTGATAGACTTTTGATTTATAGTGTTGTTTTTTGAGGGGATAATGAATAGATCTGTCATGTGAAAGTTTTTATGAAGTAATGTGATTAAACCAGAGCTCTCCTCTTTATGATTCATTTTCCTGTAGAGAGGCCTTTTTCTACTGCTGGACAGGCTGTTAATGGACAGCTATTACTTGGTTTTGAAAATGATGCATGTTCCCATTAAGGAACACGGTGTAAAATATCCTGAACTCTTTGTATGAAACTAAAATTGAGCGTTCTGTTATGCATCCAGCGATGTTTTAATGAAGAAAAACAAAACATTGGTGGGGTAGTGAACAGGATATGATGTCTGCAGCGGAAATGTTGATGGCACACAGGAAATGCCACATAGAGACCACTAAAAAGGCTGCATTAGTGACCAACTCCTGAGAATGTGGCAGTGATATTGAAAGAACTTTTAGTTTGAGTGCATAAATGCTAAATACTTAGAAAAAACTGTGTGTGTGAATGTTTAGACAGGGTGATTCAAAAAGATTTATCTGATTTCAAAAATTATTTCACTTGTAAATCATTACAGAGCAAAGTTGTAAATGGTTTAAATGAGCATAAAGTTTATGTAATTTTAAAAGTGCTCAGTATGAACCTCCTCCAGCTGTACAGACAACCTCAACGCCATAGTCAAATTTATCCCATACTCGATTGAGCATGTCGGGTGTCACTGCACTCACGGCTCTTTCAATGCGGTTTTGGAGATTATCCAGTGTTGTGGAACCAGAGACGAACACTATGAGCTGTTTGAGCTTCACTGCCGACGAAATTGACTGATTCACTTTTATTGAAGTGAAGAACGCAAAACGCTTTCTGCTCAGGGGTCGCATCTCCTCGCAGAGTGAAGGGAGCCATCTTCCAGTGACCCCCTCTATGACCCCCTCTTTCAATTGGATTGTGATTGGTTCCTAGACGCCTCACGGTTGTAAAAATATGGCGCTTTGAAATCGGATTAATATTTTTGAATCACCCTGTGTGTGTGTGTGTGTGTGTATAGCAGGTCTAGCTTAATGTTGGAGACACTTCACTGCTCGTCCACCTTTTTACCCTGTCAGTTTTATCTACTTAACATCTCTAAACATCAGAGAGGGTCATGTAAGCTTATGACAGGTAAGCTTAAGGGCTGGCTTCCTGGACATTGATTATGTCTGGTCTTGGACTAAATTGCGGTGCCAATGATGAATCATCATTGAAAATTCTTTGTAGTCTAGGTTTAGGCTTAATCTGCGTCTGGGAAACTGGCCCGGACGGTTTAAATGCTGGTGGATGTTCCCACCACTCATTGAACTTTGTCCTAAAATATTCTCAAGATGTTTAATAAACACTATTACTAAACAGTTTAAAGATCTGGACGTCTATCTGTAATTTCAACACTGTTGTAAATGTGCTGTTTTGGAGGGGAAACTGTGGTTGTTTAGGTTATGTTGTGGATCCTGTTTGCACTTAGGGTGCTTTCACACATACCTTGTTTGGTCCAGACCTTTGGACTTTTCAGTTTTCTGTTCAGTTCGTTTGCAGTGTGAAAACCCTATTTAGGATAGTTTGCACTGTTGGACCAGTTACAGCAAGTTGAGGCCGGCTATCACCACCCATTAAACAATAGAAGAAGAAGTAAAATGAGCCGCAGCGGCACAAGCTTGAAAAAACGTGTAAAACTGCCGAAACTTCTACTTTATTTTCTGGGAGAATATTAATTTTTCTCCATTCAAACGGAAAAGGCTACCTGCCAACTCAACACGCTGTCAGATGCACGCAACTTTACAATCAATGTTAAATATAGGGACATGCAGCCCACATAGGTGATGATGACGGGATATACATGTGTCATTTAGTTGTTTAATGTGCTCGATAAATTGCAATGTGAAACCAAAACAGTGTAACATATCGCTGCTAAAACCTCGTATCTCCATTTTTTTGTCGTTTTTCAGTTTTTGACATAATTTGACAGAATTTTTTGACGGAATTTTACATTGTGTGTAAATTTCATGAAGAATGGACCAAAAGAAACATCCCAAAATGACTTGGAAAAAAGTCTAGTTCCATTGACTTACATTAAAAGTAGAGAATGTTTTTTCCATTTTGGAGATACGAGGTTTTCTTCCGACAACAGCAACATGTAAAATATCTCTACAATGTAACAAAACTATGAACCTTGGTTCCGACTTTCAGGTGTGAAATAGTGCTTAGACTACAAAAATACTTTCATGTAATAAAAGTATATTATTAGTTATAGTATCAGTAATATTATAAAACCTTGCTTCTTTATGTTTATTCGCGTTGGTGGGGTATTGTACTTATTGGAGTTATTCTGTTTATCATGTTTAATTTTTAGATGTTAAAAAATATGAATCCAGTTCAGTTGATAATATTGTGAAAGGTTCACTAGGACAGTCAGTCACGTTACTGAGTACTTTATCACTGCCAGCTAGTAATTTTTATGAAGTTTTTAGGTAGTTTAAATTTTCGTTACACGATTTCATAGTACATCATTTCTTTCTGTAATTTTATTGTGCTGTAAGCGTATATCTAGCCTTAACTCGGCTTTAGTCAGGATTAATGTCAGGCAAGGCACTTTTAAGGTTCATGCTCTCTGAGACTGTATTTCTAGAGATGCTTTAACTCTACTGTTGTGTTGTTTTGCCAAATTCGATTTACAGTACAGAATTATCTATATACAATTATGAAATGTATAGTTCCGGTCCTAAAAACTGATTGGCTGAGCTGCGTTCAAAGCTGCGCCTCGATACGAAAAACCCTTGTGCTGTTAATGGAATAATCTGGAGTATACTGACAAAATAATACCTCGTTTTTTTGTTTAAACTGAGCGGCTGGCACCTTATTTTCGTAACTAGAACTAGGCTGGTCAGCTAGTCAACAGGCTACAAGATAGCTAATAGCCTAAACAACTCCATCATTAATATCGCAGGCTTGAATTAAAGTACTTGCGGTATAATTAACTGTAAAACGTCAGTATAAAAGTCTAAAGAACATCACTTGAATGTCTTCCTTCAAATGTTCATGTTTCAGTCAGAAGTCACGTCAAACCCAGGCTGAATCCCAAACGGCTCCGTACTCCCTAAATAGTGTGCTATGGAAATTTAGAAATTCTAGCCTCTACAGCCAAAAAGTGTGAAGTATGAATGTTGCTGAGTCCCAAATTACTATTTTTTTAGCCACATTATGCACTGTTGGGCTGCAGGATTCCTATGTAGTGCCCTGTGTAGGTAGCCATTTGAAATTCAGCCCCAGCATGAGAAGAGGTGCGCCGTTAGATTAGTGCTAAATACGACTCTGTGGTAATTTGGTGACCAAAAAGTACTTATAAAGCAGAGGTTTTTGCATAAACACCCTTCTCTGTGATAAAATCGCAGTAATGCATGGCCTCCTGTGGCTTATTGCTTAATTAAATAATTACTCGCTTACATATTTAGTTATGCAGTTCATGTTTACATTTTATTTGCATTGTGAGTCTGCACTTCTGACACTGTTTCAGTGTCCAAGACTGTCAAAAACTAGACTCAACTCATAACAAGAAGTTTTTAACTTCAGCTCCAATACTCAGTAACACTAATATGGTATGAACTGAATATTTAGAATCCGCAATTTCAACAGAATGTTTCTGCATGTTTTAGTGAGTTAGCAGTGAGAAATAATTTCTACTAAAATTTAAGAAAATATAAGAAAGTTCAAGGGGTACACAGCATGAGGGGACCTTGGAGTCCCCTGACGCTCCTAAGCACTGCTATAGATATTAAACATATGCTTTTATATTTACACACACACACACACACACACACACACACACTAAAGACACTTTACCTTCGTCTTCTGAAACGCCCCAGGTGTCATTTTGCTGGCCTGCAGCCTGGAACCAAAACTGCAGGCCAAGAAAAGAAAAAAAGGGTAAAACTTAATTGGCACCAGCAGAGGAAAATAACCTATAGCACTGTGGGATCGTTATGCAGGACGGCTGGATTCGAAAAGAGGGAGAGGGAGGAAAAAAAAAGGTTCCACTATGTCAGTGGGTCTTTGCGAACCAAGCCACGCAGCACATGTACTCAGAGGGAGGGGTGGAATGCCATCTGTTGAATGGATTTTAATCACTGGCAGTCCATGTGTTCTGTGGAATTTGTGGAGTGTTGCTTCGTCTTGTACATGGTGACCTCTACTGTTAAAGTGGTAGTCTGGTGAAAAAAACCGAATATACACAGTTGTCTCTCTTATGCCAAACAGCTAATCAGCCAAGAGGCGTTTAGTGTGCGAAGTTTGGCTTTGCACTGGAGCTACAAGGCTAATGTAAGTAGTGGAAGCTGATGACCACCAGTTAGTGTGCCTAAATCATCATGCGCTTGTCTCAAACTGCATCAAGCTGTGAAGTAATGTCAGATAGAGAAATAGCTGCACAGTGCTAATTTGTGCTAATACGCTTCCATGTAGCTCCAGTGAAAACTTAGGATTTAAAATTAGGAAAAAAAACATTTGGGATAGAAACGGAAGAAGTGATGTTAGTTTTCCGCCCAACTGTCACTTTAAACGTCTTCTTATTGCCATTTTCTAGATGGAGCTTCTGGATAAGTTCCCTGTGGAAGGAGGGCAGAAGGATCCAAAGCGAAGAATCATCCCCTTTTTACCAGGTAGGAAATGAGCTCCACCGTCACCACCAAGCCCATCTAGTGCTAACAAATGAAGCTAGACAGTCTATTGTCTTGTGACCGTCTTCTTCTGAAAACACAACAACATTGTCCCAAGAATTGCAGACCTTGCTGGTCTGTCTCCGTCGTGACCTCATTGTTTCCAGAAAGGGTAATTCTGTTTTTCCATTGCTGAGAATTAAATCGTAGGCCTTGTTGGCAGCATCCATAGTTGTCAGCAGACTCTGACACAAAACACGGCACTCAAGTCCCAGCGTCACAGGTTAAAGTGCTAGTGCGAAAAATTGAATTTACACAATTTTCTCCTTAACTGCAGTGTAATCAAGCAGCCAAGGCATGTTTCATGTCCTGAGTTTGATTCTTCAGGTTTGTGACGAGGCTGATGTCGCTAACAAATACTGGGAGGTTATATTCTACCAGTTAGCCTTGTGCAGAATGAATACCTTGTCTGCAGACACTTGTCTCAGTCTGAGCAGGTTGTTACTTGAAAGGGAAAAAGACACAATTGAGGCTTTAGATGGTTTAATTTAGTGATTTAAATTTGTATACATTCATTATTCACAAGGAGTTTTTATGCTATCATACATATTATACATATTATACATATTAGACATATCGCTGCTGTTGGAGTGAAACCTTGTATCTCCAAAATGGTAACTTTACAGGAGAAGGAAAAAACCTACTTTAATTTTAATGTAAGTCAATGGAACCAGACATTTTTCTGAGTCATTTTTGGTCATTTTTTTTAGTTCATTCATCATGAAATTTACATACAATGTAAAGGGCAACAGATATTTTCAAATTATGTCAAAAACTGACAAACGTCAAAAGTTGAGATGCAAGTTTTTTTTTCCGTGATATACATGTTATTATAGAAAATCAATGTGTGGTCCGAACTGTGACCCAAAACTAAAGCAGTTTAATGACGTTTTACAGTCCAAGTAAAATTCTGATGAGATAAAAATGTGGAAAAGTAGTTGTAATCTGGAGTCAATTTGCCATACAGTGCCAGAAACCACACCACCAGATCTTTTTGCGATTACTTAACGGTTTACTTGATGGTTTGATGATTTAGGCCTGAAGTTTGTACTGTGCTAATCAGTGTACATAAGCCATTACTTGTTAACTACATCAGCCTCATAGCTCCAAAGAGGCACCAAACATGCCTTGGCTGATCGGCTGCATTGGAATAAGGTTGATAAATGTAATTTTCCAACAATCTGTTCCTTTAAACGAGGCCCATTCCAGTCAAGGCAGTTGGGCTGAATGAGGAGAGACTCACCTTGACAGCACCTGGAGGAAGCCTGCGTATGTGTGTCTGGAACTCGTTTAAAGAGCCCCGGCAGGGTCACAGCTCTCAGCTGTGTTTATTTATGAGCCTGCAGGCTGTGAAAGGAGTCTGCTCTCCCACACAGTCATTCTCTTTTTCTCTTGATTCAGCCAACTACAGCCTTCCATTTCTTCTCTTAAGCACATTCATCTTTCCATTCATTCGTCGATGGTGTGAAAAGAAAGAAGTTAAGTTCAGAATTGTTGGCCATTGTTTATTAGGGCTCGGTCAGTATATTGTTTGACCAGTAAAATCATCCAGTTTTAAGATTCCACAGTTTTGTCAGTGCTGATAAAACACCAGTAAAGCACCATAGTGCCTTGTAATGAACAGATAACTCTATAAACCAGGGGTGCACAACTCTGGTCCTGGAGGGCCGGTGTCCAGCAGAGTTTGGAGGTTTTCCTGCTCAAACACACCCACTTAACCTGGCAATTAACAGATGAGTATAATCAGGTGTGTTCGAGCAGGTAAATCGCCAAACTGTGCTGGACACCTGCCTTCAGGACCGGAGTTGTGCACCCCTGCTATAAACACTCATTTCTAAGTAATTTAATACTCTCAGTAATACTGTCAGTAAAGCTCAGTTTAACTAAAGCTATTGTATTTTTGTTCATATAAAATTATGCCTATTATATTATGTTTTACCAGTGGTCTCCAACCCTGGTCCTGGAGAGCTACCTTCATGCAGAGCCTAGTTCCAGCCACAGTTTGCCACACTTGCTCCAGCTAATCAGCCTCGTTCCAAGTCCCTGATTGGCTGGATCAGATGTATTAGAGTTAAGTAAGGGGTGTGGCAGCTTGTTGGATACAGGTTGGAGCTAAACTCTGCAGCAAGGTAGCTCTCCATGACCAGAGTTGGAGACCACTGTGTTATTCTAGCGTTTCGTGTGACGTCACTGTACAGTTGGCGCCATTTTGAGGACCGAATCGGGGAGTGACTGCACAGCACTGCCTTCGATTAGCTGTGCTTCGTGAATGATTCACCTGCAAGACACGACCGAAGCCGAGAATGATGAGACACACATTTAATTCAGTGTTTTCAAAGCCGCTGCACTGTATAGTTTAGTGTTTCTCTCTGCTCTTCACACCTCGTTCAGCTCAAGAAGGGATTAATTAGCTAATAATATCAGGTATTTTAACCAGGAAACCACAGTTAGGCAGTGCAGGGGTTGCAGGACTGGAGCTGGGAACTTATAGGTGAAGGGTGAAGTTATACCGGCCGTCTGCAGCTCCGTTAGGGGGCGACTGTTCACCTCTCGGCTGTTAACATTAGCAAAAGTTATCTAAAGGCTAGAATTGATCACATCTGTGTTAATTAGCTGATGTCGTTACCCTCCTATGATACCCTCCTATTTTTTCTCCTCTTTATGCAGCACCATCGGATCCTTTACCCACCCTGACGTGAGGAGCCGGTGGGCTTCTGTGCTTTTAAATGCTTGAGACTCTCCAGAATAGGGGGAGGGGTTGTTTATGAGATAAATATAAATGTCAGGAAAACACAAATTTGGTAGCTTTCCGTCCGTTTAAGTGGGATCAGGAGTTCAGGGGAAACTGTATAAGAATCGCAGCCTATTTTATCGACTTTGTCGAGGTCACGTTTTTCTCTTCCAAAGTAAGGAGAGTAATTTTAGCCATCTTTCACCTCTAGTTACGTTCGTGTCATAAACCGGCTCTGGCCAGAAATTCAGTCCCAAATATGGTGGGTACAACAGAAAAATCATATGACTGATGATAAAAATAATATTGTGTTACGAAATATTATTTTGTATTAGTGTATTAGTGGCAAAATTCTGGAAGTAGGCATGGTCTTATTTAAAACACAGATCATTTAGGTTTGCCTATGTGGCTTCTGACATTGCATGACATAGTGATACACTCCATATTTCACCAACACGGATTGGTGGGCTGTCGCGATTCACCACACTGATGTTCAGTTTGTACTTCAAAAATTGTACTTTTCATATCATAGTTTGGATATTTATTACATAATGTTATTATGTTATATAGTATAAATAATAATACTTTATGTGCAGTTATAAAAACATTTTAGCTCCTTGAAATCAATTCAAGTGTGAGACCATTGTAAGTTTAGGTTTTCAGTGATTTTTCAGGTGTTCCACATTTGGACGCAGCTCCGTCTAGTGAGATTATTTTCCCATTCTTTTCTTTTTTTTAATAAGAATAATACTGGAATGCACTCTGTCTCTAAGCTATTTGCAGTTATTCATATGGAAATGCAGAGCAGGGTTTATTGTGCCGGACAAACACGACTGTGGATTGCGGATTAATGTCCAGCCAGTCGAAGACAGTGAAAGCTGGCAGTCCAGATGTTTTGGGAGAGGGGCAGATATGTTTGATGTAAACTAAAGATACTCTAAAGTGGTTTCCTGTAAAATGAGGCTCTGGATTGTTCAAACTAGACTTGTTTTCTTTTGGCCTTTCTTTGGATACATCAGCAAAGTGGTCAGTGCAGAAGTTATTGCACAGCGAATCTCTTCCTCACTTTATGTCACGAGTCATGGGATTTTTTTTTTTTTTTAATACACGGATGAAGTAAAGGGAAATTCCAGATTTCACCAGCATGGATTTTACCTAACCAAGTTGCTGGGCCTCCCACACTGAAATCCAGCTTTTGGCCTCTGTGTGGTTCACATATTGGTCTTACTTCAAAGAAGCTTTAGTTTGGTAGAAAATCATGTAGGCTTGCTTATCTTCAGGCATTGTACTGACATTGTACTGACATTGTACTGATATACTCCAGATTTCACCAATTTAGATTGGTGGATTGGGGCACCTCACCAGATTATGAAGCCTTTTTGAAAGCAAGCAGTTTTAGACTGTATTTAATAAATCTGACTGATGTGTCTATCAAAATTGACAAAAGTAAACTTAAATTTTGTCTGGGATTTTTTAGTTTTTATAGATAACAGTGTATCATACAGTGTCAGAAACCACATAATCAAGTCTATTAGAGTTTACTGAACCTCTCAACACCATTTGAGGCAAGTGTGTGATAATTTAGATGTGTATAAGTTGTTTATCCAAAGCATAATTGGAAGTTTTATGTGTTTATATATTCTAATGATATGCATACTAACTGTTAGTTCATACTGAAGTTGCCTTAAATCGCTCACTTATATTCACTAACATTTTGCACCATCACAAACTCATGTCTTGGCACTGAAAAGTGGCTCTACTGATCTACTAAAAAGGGACAATGGCTTGAATGAAAGTGGTGGTCGCTGCTCTTTGGCACTTTTGACTCTTTGCATATGCATTTATAGGAGTTTCCCTCTTAAAGCGCAAAATGCTGGAAGGAGGTTATAATGAAGCACTTATCCCGATTTACTATGACTCATAGTAAATACTGACTGTGCATCATTTAATGCCTGAGAAAAGCATGCCTTATTTTTTGGCGCTAACGTGGCTGCCAGTTTATCGCACACGCTTATTTATTTTTGACTTAAACAAAAATGAAACACTTTGTAAACACTACCATTCATATTATTCCTATGATTTGATATAGGAAATTAAGAAACTAACCAAATTAGTTTTGTTAAGCAACGTTTAAAACTGACATTCCCTAATACTATGGCTATATTTTACACTTTACACTTGGAGACGTGTCTTAAGACAGGCTTTATCTAAA